GAAGTCGACGACTTCGATGACGTGCCGTGTTGCTGCATTAAGTGCCATGACCTGTTCCTACATAACAAGCAGAAACTAAACAGCGGCAGGTGCTCCCTGTTATCCGAAATTTATCCGAGGTCGTTGCTTTCCGATTGCTTCTGAGGAAAGACAAGAACGTGCTGTGCAGCCTCCCAACAAGCCTTTGACAGTGTTCCTCGGGAAAAAAAACTGCCGTCGGCAAAAATGCTACTGCGCCAGCCCTCGTGCTTTTTGTGCTGTCTCATTAACGTGACCTGCTTCTGTCCAGACGGACGCACGAGGCGATCGCAGACGTCTCGGCTCTGTAGCCAGACGAAGCCGCCTTCCGAAACGTTTTCGCTGGGAATAGTTGAGAGCCATTTTGTTCGTTGAGCTCCTGGGAAGATCCATCACTTGCTGTTTGATACCGCCTGCTATGGATTCTCGAGTATCAGACGAAGCTATTCACCGTCCCGCATCTTCGAGTGCGTCGTCCTCGAAAGCGCCGTCCGTTGAGGCCTCGCGTTGCAGACCAGAATTCTCTGCGACGAGCATGCCTGGCGGCCGTGCTGCGGTAGCAGACAAAGTGCGGCTGATGTCTCGACGACGAAAAAAAGAAGTCTTGCTGGAAGATTATCAGCTGCCGTCAGGACACCCGGATTTCCACTTCCAAATACAACTGCTTCGCACGGATGAAACGACTAGCATAGGTCTGCGCTTTGCCAACAGAGAAGGCAAGCTCAAAGTGGTTAGTGTTCAAGCAAATGGACTTCTGGCCGCTCACAACGATCGCATGGCCTGGCATTTCGGTACCTCGCTCTGTTACTATCATCAAGTTCTTCCTGACGACATCATCGACTCAGTCAACGGAAAGACTGACATCGCGGAGATGAGACTCGAACTAAAAAGATCGACGGAGCTCTTCTTGGTTCTGAAAAGAACGGCTTCGGAGATCGCTTACCCATGCAAGATTGACGATGCGCCCAGCCGTTGTGCAAAAAGCTAGTCAGCACTGCGCCAAACTTCTCGTTTGCGGACGATGGCTCAAAAGAATAAAAGCAGCTCGCTTTCTTTTGCATGCCATGCTTGCACCCCAACCTTTCGCATTTGCGTTTGCCAAGCACCTGCAGGCCGAAAGAAGCCGACTTCCTCGACGGGGCAAAGAAGCGTCTCTCCGACCCTGCCCCCGTTATTAGCCCCCCACACAACCCCCAACCCACCCAAGACAACCAAATCGTGCGGACGTTGTTGGCGCCCACCCCCCCTCGAAGCAAGCGGAAAAAGATGCTTTTCCAGCCTCCGAGCTTGCGTTTTCCAAGGTTCCATGAGAATACTCTTGCTGCACGCGTCGAACACGGACGTTATTAGCCCCCCCCCCCCCCCCGCCCCCCCCCCCCCCCCCCACCACGCGAACTTGCCTATTCCAGGGTTCCAAGGGGACTGCTTGCTGCACGCAACACGGACGTTATTAGCCCCCACCCCACCCCCCCGCCCCCACCCGCCGAGCTTGCCTGTTCCAAGGTTCCGCTGAGACTGCTCTTGCTGCACGCGTCAAACACGGACGTTATTGGCCCCCCACCCCACCCCGCCCCACCCCCCCGAGACCAACCGGAAGGTGCGTTTCCAGCCTCCGAGCTTGCGTTTTCCAGGGTTCCAATGAGAGTACTCTTGCTGCTCGCGTCAAACACGGACGTTATTAGCCTCCCACCCCACCCCCCCTCCGCCCCCACCCGCGGAGCTTGCCTGTTCTAGGGTTCCAATGAGACTGCTCTTCTTGCACGCGTCAAACACGGACGTTATTAGCCCCCAACCCACCCCACCCCCCCACCCCACCCCCCGGCCCCACCCAGGCCCGACCCAAACGTGCTTTTGGAGCCTGCAAAGGTGCGTTTTCGATGGTTCCGCTGAGACTGCCCTTGCTGCGCGCGTCGAACACGGACGTTATTGGTCCCCCACCCCACCCCCCCGACCCCACCCGCCGAGCTTGCCTGTTCCAAGGTTCCGCTGAGACTGCTCTTGCTGCACACGTCAAACACGGACGTTATTAGCCCCCCACCCCACCCCGCCCCACCCCCCGCGAGACCAACCGGAAGGTGCGTTTCCAGCCTCCGAGCTTGCGTTTTCCAGGGTTCCAATGAGAGTACTCTTGCTGCTCGCGTCAAACACGGACGTTATTAGCCTCCCACCCCACCCCCCCTCCGCCCCCACCCGCGGAGCTTGCCTGTTCTAGGGTTACAATGAGACTGCTCTTCTTGCACGCGTCAAACACGGACGTTATTAGCCCCCACCCCACCCCACCCCCCCACCCCCGGCCCCACCCAGGACCGACCCAAACGTGCTTTTGGAGCCTGCAAAAATGCGTTTTCGATGGTTCCGCTGAGACTGCCCTTGCTGCGCGCGTCGAACACGGACGTTATTGGTCCCCCACCCCACCCCCCCGACCCCACCCGCCGAGCTTGCCTGTTCCAAGGTTCCGCTGAGACTGCTCTTGCTGCACGCGTCAAACACGGACGTTATTAGCCCCCCACCCCACCCCGCCCCACCCCCCCGAGACCAACCGGAAGGTGCGTTTCCAGCCTCCGAGCTTGCGTTTTCCAGGGTTCCAATGAGAGTACTCTTGCTGCTCGCGTCAAACACGGACGTTATTAGCCTCCCACCCCACCCCCCTCCGCCCCCAGCTTGCCTGTTCTAGGGTTCCAATGAGACTGCTCTTGTTGCACGCGTCAAACACGGACGTTATTAGCCCCCACCCCACCCCACCCCCCCACCCCCGGCCCCACCCAGGACCGACCCAAACGTGCTTTTGGAGCCTGCAAAAGTGCGTTCCGCTGAGACTGCCCTTGCTGCGCGCGTCGAACACGGACGTTATTGGTCCCCCACCCCACCCCCCCACCCCCCACCCCACCCAGGACAACCAAAACGTGCTTTTGGGGCTTCCAAAAGTACGTTTTCGATGATTCCGCTGAGGCTGCCCTTGCTGCACGCGTCAAACGCGGAAGTTCTCGGCCGCGACCCCAACCCCCCACCCACCCCCACGTCAGCCCCCAAGCATGCTCTGAAAACGCTTCTCCGGAAACCAACGAAAACATTCTTTTCGAGACTCCAAAAGTGCATTTTCGATGGTCTGTCAGATGTTTCCTAAAACGCCTCGAAACGCACTTTTCGGCCAGCGTTTGCCAACTGGGCAACTGCAGTTTCCTATGGTTTTTACAATGGATTCGGCACTTTGGCGCGCAAAAGTCGTCTATTGAGGCTAACTTGCAAAGTGGACTTTCCTATGGTTTTTACAATGGATTCTACACTTTTCCGTGCATGTTGAAGCCATTTCCGGAAAAGACCGAAGTGCACGTTCATATGGTTTTTACAATGGATTCGACACCCGTCTTTGCGCAAGCGACTTGGCAAATCTTTGCGCAAGCGACGCGATTTTATTTGCGTAAGTGACGGTGTTGCCACTGAGCGGCATGAAGCAGACTTGGATCGAAGTGGTGTTCCCGGGGCAGAAGGAAGCACAGCGGCAAGCGTTGCATTTTTGAGCTTGCCGTCTTGCATTCTTGGACATGCATCGGGTTTGGTCTGCATGTGGATGGTACCCGTCACAGGAAGCATGATACAGTCCAGTAAAGATACAGGGTACTTTGGTCATTTCAGCAAGAAGGATCCTGTCGGTTGATGGAGGAAATCTTGCACCACCTGCACAGTCACAGGTTACACAACACTTGAGCACAACCCCGCACCCCCTCTTTAACATTGAAGATCATGCATACCGAGGTGGTGCAAGATTTTTGTCATTGGAACCCACGGCACTTCCGAGGATCACCGGTCAATATTAAAAAGGGGGCGTGGGGTGTCTGCTTAGCTTGGCCACTTAAAATGGTGCAAGATTTCCTCCATCAACAGTACGTTACACGATCGTCACTGTAAGCAAGACGCATTAAACAAGTTCTGAGCGACCAGTCCGATGCCGATGCCTGTCTGGAAGATATAAAAAGGACCGAGGTACTTGCAAGACAGAATTGAGGAAAGGTAGGTTTTCCTTGCATTTCGGCAGAATAATCGAATAATCGAAGTGTTAACTGATGCATAGGTGCGATTGTGAACGAAAGGCCGCTCAAGAAATGTGGCTCGAACAGGCCCTCAGGATCGTTCAGGCTGGGGTTGTGAGTAATTGGTGGGGCTTGGGTTGCCCCTCTCACTGTCAAGGGTCTGTTCTCGTTTTGGCCTTGACTTTCGGCTTCGGCTGTACTTTGGGTGTGGTGTTGACCTTGTGGTTCTTCAGGGATACCCTTTTCAAGGCTCCTTGCCGGGACCCCTTCACTTCCACTGCTCCACAGCCTTCTCCTCCTGCCAAAAGGCCTGCTGACCTGCGTCTGCGTGCCTACTTGCATGAGTGAGCCTGACTTGGCTGCTGCTATCTCTCACTTGGCCGAGTCCCTTCAGGAACTTTCTCTTGCCCTGCGTCCCGAGAACCCCCCTAGTGGTTCTAGTGACAACTGGGTATTAGTTAGTCCCGAACCTCCCGTTGAGCCGGGTTCCCGTGCGGCTCCGGGCCCCCTTGGCATTCATCATTCCACCTTGTCTCCGGGGCAGCTCACGGCCCGTTATAACCGCCTGGAGGCGGAATTTGCACCTCTTCCTCCTCACTGCCTTCACTCCTGTCGGGCCCTTGTGGGTTCAGGATCTACTCCCGAGGCTCGTGCTTCCCGGGCTTGGGTTGCTGGGCTTTGGGCAAGGTTGGTCATTGACGACCAGGTGCCAACACCTAGGCCTTCCGAGCGCCTTCCTGCCTCCCTGCGTCCCCGCTTCTACGTGGTCTTGCGGTGTTCCGGCCTCGAGTGCCCTGCCTTGTTCTCCTCAGGCCGCCTTTTCAAGCAAGCTGTTGGCTCCCTGGAGGGAAGCCAGACTGTCTGCCAGGCCTTTGCTTCCTTGTCCGAAGCCGCTGTCTACTGTGAGGCTGCGGGTTTTGCCTTGCCAAAGGAGCAATGATGGAGTTAAGTACCATGGAAGTGCTAACGGAGGGTCACTCCAAGCTTCTTGCCTTGACCTGGCCAGAGTCAGGGAGGACCGCACCCGTTGCAGAGGCCTTGTGCGTCCCGATCATGAAAAGGCGGGAGGGAGTCATGCTCTGCATTCCTTGCGGCTTTTTGTCTCTTGCGGCCCTGGACGAGGGCGACGGTGCCGAGGCTCTGTCTTTGATGGGCCCTTCTTTTCAGTGCACGGTTCCCTTTGGGACGCTGGACGAGCAAGGGGCCGAGCATCCTCTGGACATAGAGGCGGCAGTCCTCTTGCTGGATGTGAGCGTCGACGTCCTTCCCTTGTTGAGGGAGGTGGGGGACGACATGGTGTCAGACACCATCTTCCCGTTCGTCATGCACCAGCCCGAGGCTTTTCCCCTCTCAGAGGATCTCCTGGCCGCAGCCAGGAAGTGGATTGCGGAGTCCCCCGAGGACCGGTGCGCCTTCTATTCGGCTCAGGAGGAACCGCCTGCCGAAGAGCCCGCAGTAGAAGGAAAGGCCAAAGCCAAGAAAGCCCAGGCAAAGCGAAAGGTCACCACGGCGGACCTTGCGCAGCAGATGTCCCTCCTCACGACTATGTTGCCGCAACTTGCCGAGCAACTTACGGCCGTCAAGGAGAGGCAGGAACAGCTGGAGAAGCATGTGCAACCAGGCGCCTCCGAGCCGGCTCCCAGCCCTGCAAAGCCTGCTCATCAACAGCCTTTTCTCCCGCCTCGTGGCCCTGGACTTCCTGTGGCCAAACAGGCCTCGCTGCTAGGGCCTCCTCCGAGGACAAGGCCCGTGGATCAAGCTGGTGCTGCGGCTGTTGTGCCGACTGTCTTGGCCGAGAAGCCTCCATCGGCTCCGGCCCCCGCGGATGCTTTCCAAGCGGCCATGCTTCAGCAGAGCCAGGCCTTGTCGGCCCTAGTCGGGCAACTCGTGGCTCAGCAAGACGGTGGGCTGGGCGACCTATCCGCCTCAGGCTCTACGAGCTATGTGGGCTCGAAAGGTGCTGCCCGTCGGGAGAAACTCCAGAGTGCCCTTGCCGCCCGGAGCGGGGACTTCTACCTTGCTGTGCTTCAGGCGGCTTCGCGGAGGATGCGCCCGTCTTCCCCTTGCCCGACATCCGTCGAAGACTGCTCGGGTCAGGTGTCCATGTGCCAGTACCTCGAGCGGTTCGGTGGCTACGCAGGGCACCGCGAGACAGGTTACATCATGTGGTCTTTGGCTCATATCATGGATTGCTTGACGGCCGAGGATTACGCTGGGGCCCGCGAGCACGTTGCCCTGACCGCCGTGGCGATCGACCAGTCGGTCATAGACGGTGGCCGTTGGGACTTTGCATGGCTCCTGACGTTGTTGGAAGAGCCACCGGCCCAGCTCTTTCATGGAAGGGGGCTGGTTGCGAATCCGAGGACAAGGGCGTTCTCGCCTTTGTCCCCGGTCGGCTGGACCACATGTGCCCTTCAGTATCTCAAGGAGGTCGACCTGATAACGACCAGGAGGCTGGAGACCTTAGGGCCCACGCGGCAGCAGGCCGCCCCACCCGCCGGGGAAAGCGAGGGACAGGACGCCAACAAGCCAAAGAAGGGGCCGCGGTTCCCAAAAAAGCCAAAGCAGGAAGTGCCAAAGTGAGGCCGTCCAAAGTTTCCGGGTTACCGCCTGGCCTTAGGCCATCCGGCCATGGTCTCAGCTTTGCTTCTAAAGTTGGTTTTTCGTCTTGGGTCTCCGGCCTGCTTCGAGCCGTCCTCCGCACGAGGACTTGCTTTTCTGCTTTTCTTCAGTCTACGCTGCACTTGCCCAGGCTTGCCAAGCCTGCGCCGCCTTCTGAGGTGATCTTCCCGATGCCTCTTCCTTCTGTTGGCTCCTTTGCCAGCTTCTCTCTGGAGCGCAGCCAGCGTTTTCGGAGGCGTGTTATGCACCACCGTCTCCTGCACATTGTGTGTATGGCTTTGAATTTCCTGCACTCGAACTTTGTGCCAATCCCTCTCTCTGTGCTCCAGCGGCCCTTGAATGCTGCACAGCGAAGTCTTGTTGCGCATCTTGGCCGGCATTTGAAGGCGTTCGGTGCCTCAGCCGGTGAGTTTGTTCTTGCCGACTCCGGCCGCCGCAATCCCCAATTAATTGCAAGATTGTCTGAGCTAACGAGTTTTCTTGCCGCATCCGCTGCGGCCACGGGGGACCCTTATGCTGATCGTTCAGGCACTGTCGTCCCAATGCACAACGAGGCCCATGCCGGGCTTGACCCCTTCCGGAGTCTGAACACCTCTCGCCTGAAGCTCTCGGGGCAGGGCCTTTGGAATCCCTTGCCCCATCTTCCCGAGGAGCTTTACATGGCTTTTGCCGAGCCCCGGTCCTTACTACATGGGCTGCCACCTCCGGCTTCCTTTGTCCCGGTCTGGACCCGAGAGTCCCCTTCTGAGGTTGCCTCTTTAGCTAGGCTTTGGGATAGTTTGGGGTTGCTTCGCCTCACGCCGGCCTTGCTTTCACCTTCGGAGAGCTATCTCCTTGCCAGGGCCTTCAACTGCTACAAGGGGCCGGACAAGGACAGGATGATCATTGACCGTAGGGGCCAGAACTGGGCCGAATCCCGCCTCTCAGGTCCCAGCCTTTACATACCTGTTGGGCCCATGTTGGGGATGCTGGAAGTTCGGCCGCATGTTCAGTCCGTCTACTGCGCCGCGGCTGACAGGAAAGATTTTTACCATCAGCTTCGGGCTACTGGGCCTAAGGCGCTTTCCAACCGTTTGGGCCCAGCCCTTCCCCTGGTTGCTGTTCGGGACATGCAGGCCTTCCAGCACTTGCTTCCTTCCGAGGGGCCCGGTGGTGCCTGCGACTCCGCCGGCCGGCGCTCTGCTCGAAGAGCGTCTCTTCTTTTTGACCCAGGGCATTATTTTGTATGCTTTGGGGCTGTCGCGCAAGGAGACCATCTTGGGGTAGAGGTCGGAACTTCAGCCCACGAGAATGTTCTACTTGCTGGGGGCCTTCTCTCCGAGGATGTTAGGCTGTGCTCCAATCGGCCCTTCCGTGGCCTCACCGAGGCCCAGGGCCTCGTCATTGACGATTATTTCGCCCTCTGTGTCAAGGATCTCCGGGATCCTTCTGGCCCTGTGTGTGTGGACCGGCTCCGGCTTGCCAAGGACATCTACCAACATGAGGGGCTGGTCGGTTCGGATGATAAGGACATTTGGGGCGAGCCCAAGGCCAAGATAGCCGGTGCTGAAATCTGTTCGGGCCCGGAGACCCGCTCTCGAGGGCTTGTTACCGTTGCGGCCCCAGCTGAGAAAAGGATCGCCTTGTCGCTTCTTTCTCTTGAAGCTGCCCGGCTTTCGCATGTGACCGACGCCCTTTGGCTTTCGCTTGTCGGCAGTTGGACGTCGGCAGCCCTGTTTCGCCGGCCGCTCATGGCTGTGTTCTCTGAGGTCTACAAGGTTGCCCCTGCAGGTGCTGCAAAGGCTTCTAGGCCGAAGCTGTTTTGCTTGACGAGCCGGGCGGCTGCCCAGGAAATTACTCTTGTGAGTGTTCTGGCTCCTTTGGCTGCCTGCGACCTTTCGGCACCCTTTGTTGAGGAGCTCTTTGCTACCGATGCCTCGGAGCAGAAGGGCGGGTACACAGTTGCCCCGCTCGGTGTTGAGGTGATTCGGCCTCTTTGGCGCACGGCCTCCCGCAAAGGGGGTTACAGCCGCCTCTTTTCAAAGGAGGAGATGGTCCTTGCCCGCTTTGAAGATAGAGAACCCTTTGACCTCAGGATGGTTGATGAAGGTGATGTGTCGGACCCGTCCTGGCCGCTTGCATACCATTTTGACTTCCTTGAGGTCGGCGCTGCAGGAGGTCGTGTTTCGGAGCTACTGCGGGCCAGAGGCCGAGTTGTTGGCCCGGTCATTGACCCTGCCAACAGCCCCTTCTACGACCTCTCGGCCGACCGAACCTTTGAGTGGCTTTGCTTCCTGCTGCAGCACAACCGGGTCAAGTGCCTCTTTGTTGTGGTTCCACCGTCTGTGCTGGGCTCTTCTCAAGCCCCTGGTTGTTCTGAAAAGCGCGGCCTTCGAAGGCCCTCCTCCGTCGCTTGCCGTAGCCTTGCCTTGGTTGCGTGTGCTCGTGCTTGCGGGGTCCTGGCTCTGCTCTTGTACCGTGGCGCTGAGGGCCCGGTGCTTGCCTCGCGTTTGTCGCGTTTGCGGGCCTTTGGAGCCATCCCTGGTTCCACGTGTTTTTGTGCTTTCGGGAGCGCTGGCTGCTTGGATTGCAAGTTCCTCGCTTTTGGCCTTGACCCGTCTCCCTTGACAGTGCCTTGCTGCCGCCGGCCCTTTAGAGCCAGGCAGCCTGCTCATCAGCAGCCTTTTCTCCCTCGCCTCTTGGCCCAGGCTTTGGCCACTGAATTCGACTCTGCTCTGCGTCGTGTGTCCCATGTGAAGTCTCTTCGGCGTCTCCAGCCACTTGGTCTCGAAAACCATCTCCTGAATGATATTGTGCTGTCCCTGCATTGGGAAGTTGGCGACAGTTGGTGCTGGCGGTCTGCCTCCCACATCAACATCCTGGAAACAGCTTCTGTGCTCAGGCTGATCCGCACGTTGGCGCGCCGCGGGCCCTGTCGTGTTGTGATCTTGGTGGACTCCTCGGTTGCACTCCATTCCTGCGCCAAGGGCCGCAGCCCGTCTAGAGGCCTCAGCCCTGTTCTGAGAAAGATCGCTTCCCTTTGCCTCCTTGCAGGCATTTATCCTGCCTTCCACTTCGTGCCGACTCGCTTGAATCCGGGCGACTGTCCCACCAGGGACCTTGTGCTTCCAGACCCTGCCCCTGCTTCCTTCTGGCCTGGACTTGGCATCGATGAACTATACGAGGGGCTGGCCTTGCCCAAGCTTCGCAGGTGGGCTTCGAATTGGGCTCGCTTGGTCTGCCTAGTTGCCTCGTGCCCTCCTGCCTTCAGACCTCACCTTGGCTGGCGTCAGCACCACTGTGGCTCTCGCCTCTTTGATTCCACCCTCGGCTTCCCCGGTGAAGGGCCTTTCTTCAGGGTTTTCGGGGTTTTGGGTTGGTTTCAGGTAGCTCTCGCCATGCCTAGCCATGTTTTGCTGCCCCGCCACGCTGCCGATGAAAAGCGTTCTGCTGCGAGGGCCACTGCGATTCTGGTCGAAGGTCGCCCAGTTGAGCCAGTGACGCAACGGCGTCGCGACAAACTGCTCGAAGCTTTTGGGAGTTGGCTGCTGGATCAAGGCGTTGTCTTTAGCGACCTCTTCGACCTGTCTCCTTTGACTACAAAAAAGCTGAATGGCTATTTGGTGGGCTATGGAAGGCAGCTTTTTGATGCTGGTTGGCCTTATTCCCACTACTCCGAAGTTATCAACGCCATATCAAGTAAAGAGCCTGCTTTGCGAAGGTCTTTGCAACCGGCCTGGGACCTGGCTTTTGCTTGGCTGAGGGAGGAGCCCCATTCTCATCATGTTGCTCTTCCCTGGCAGGTTCTTCTTTCAGCGATCACGCTAGCACTGCTTTGGGGCTGGCCGCGTGTTGCTGGGATGCTGGCTTTGACTTGGGGAGCTGTCATGCGAGTTGGTGAAACTTTGGCCGCCCGCAGGTGCGACCTTCTGTTGCCGGAGGATGTACAACACACCATTGGTTATGCTCTGGTTTCGATAAGTGAGCCGAAGACCCGCTTTAAAGCTGCCCGCCACCAATCGGCTAAGCTGGACCAACCAGACCTTCTGGAAATAGTGCAGTTTGCTTTTGGCAGCCTGAGCCCGGAGAGCAAGCTCTGGCCTCTTTCGCCCTCGACCCTGCGGAGCCGCTTTGATTCTCTGATGGTGAGACTGGGTACCCACCGCTGGGAAGGCCAAGGGTCTCGGTCCTTGGACCTTGGCTCGTTGAGAGCCGGTGGTGCGACCTGGCTGCTTCAAACTTCAGAGGACTCTGAGCTGGTTAGGAGGCGAGGGCGATGGCTCAACAGCAGGACAATGGAGATTTATATTCAGGAGATTTCGTCGATCCAGTTCGTGCATCGACTGACTTTGGAGACGCGCCGTCGAGTCTTCTCCCTGCTGGACTCTTTCAGGTCAGTGCTGCTCCTCTCGAAGCAGCTGCAGGAAGCATCGACGCCGTGCCATCAGTGGTTTTTCTTCTTTGCCGGTGGCGCGCGCCATTCGTAAGTGGTGGAAGGGAAAAGTGGTTGGAGGCAAAGATCCGATGTTTTATACCTTGGGACAACCGCTTACGCAGTGCAGCAAAAAGGTTGCTCCCGAAGGCTGCAGTGAACTTGAGCACCTGATGCATAGGTGCGATTGTGAACGAAAGGCCGCTCAAGAACCCGCCGCTCCACACCCTCCGCCACCGGCAAAGATCCGATGTTTTATACCTTGGGACAACCGCTTACGCAGTGCAGCAAAAAGGTTGCTCCCGAAGGCTGCAGTGAACTTGAGCACCTGTATAATGTGCCTTTTCTACAGTTAACACTCAGTTAACGCTACAGTTAACACTACAGTTAACGCTACCGAAATGCCGCAAAAACCAGCATTTCGCAGACTACACGCATGTTAAAAAGCAAAACTACTAGTTTTAGTGTCTTTGATACACATTTGAAGAACATGCTGGTTTTCCCAGCATTTCGGCAGTGTTAACTGTAGTGTTAACTGTAGTGTTAACTGAGTGTTAACTGAGCGTTAACTGTGGGAAATGTAAGGAATCTACACTAATGCAGAGTACACGGGGAGCTCGCCAGTGGGCGTCCCACCGGAGTGCCGCGGAGCGGCATGAAGCAGACTTGGATCGAAGTGGAGTTCCCGGGGCAGAAGGAAGCACAGCGGCAAGCGTTGCATTTTTGAGCTTGCCGTCTTGCATTCTTGGACATGCATCGGGTTTGGTCTGCATGTGGATGGCACCCGTCACAGGAAGCATGATACAGTCCAGTAAAGATACAGGGTACTTTGGTCATTTCAGCAAGAAGGATCCTGTCGGTTGATGGAGGAAATCTTGCACCACCTGCAACGTCACCAAGGTTACACAACACTTAGCACAACCCCGCAACCCCTCTTTAACATTGACGATCAGCATATCCGAGGTGGTGCAAGATTGTTGTCATTGGAACCCACGCACTTCCGAGGGATCACCGGTCAATTATTTTTAAAAAGGGGGCGTGGGGTGGTATGCTAGCTTGGCCAATAAAATGGTGCAAGATTCCTCCATCAACATAGTACACGATCGTCACTGTAAGCAAG